GATGGCGTTATTGCGACCTGAAATACAGTCGAGAAGCGAGCTTTTACCCGCGCCTGAAGGCCCCATAACCACCAAGAGTTCACCCGGTCGAGCCACGCCGCTCATGGATTCGAGGATGGTTTTCTGCTCCATTTCCTTGGCATTTTGCACGGTTACTTGTAGTTGCAGGGATTGCCACTCGAGTGTCAGTCGAGGAGCTGGTATATCAGTTTTGACAGAACCTTCGCTTGGAGGGCCTTTTGGCGTTGATACGCCGATGTAAGGCTGTGGAGAGGCTGGAACGGGTGATGTAGCACTGTTGCTACTTCGGAGACGAAGTGATGCCATCTCGAAGGTTCCCAGAGATGTGACTTGTGGTTGGGATGTCAAAGTTGATGAATATTGCAAGTGGCGACCGTTTCAACACGCCGACCAGCGAACTCGGTAATTGTACGACCAGCTGAAGAGGTAGTTAGTGAGCCACGAGGAATGCAATCGCGTATTGTGCAGCACGAAAAGTGGGCGAAGGAGATGCTGGAGTCACGCGCTAGTTCGTATGAAGAGCGTGGAACACTTGCTTGGTCGTGGTGTCGACGCGGTCGGCAGCTTATCATGACATCCTGTTGAACATGATGGAAACGGTTTATCGATTTTGACATTTACCTGTATTGGATGATAACATGTATCCAATCGTGTTTACCATTTGCCCTGACAATTTAGATAAGTAATGATGCGTTCGTGGAGCTTTATGGAGCCATGGTGCGCAGCAGCACATGAGCTCCGATCAGTTTGACAAGAGAGAGAGAGAGAGAGTGTATGGAAGCGCCAGATGTAATCTCCAGGTTTCATTGCCCCGCTGTCATTTTATGACTCAGACGCAGTATTGGTCGAGGGGCCGAACCGAATTCGAACAAAATCTACAAGTCGGTATCTGATGATTCTGGATCTGTTATCTAAAGGGTCCAACCTGAACACCCCGGTATCCAACAGCACTCGAAATCTGGGCAATCAGGACACCCAGAAA